ATTCGTCAATTTGAAGAACATACATACTTTTGGATACTTTTAATTCTGTGAATATTTGCTTTAACTTCTTCATTACTTCGTCTAGGGCGACTGAAGGATTCTCATCAATGCACTCAAGAATAACGCTTTTATGGTCCTCATGGAGAATACATGAGGCGACTGGTCTTTCTCCATTTCTGAAAGATACTATCAGGATCCTTTTCGCACTGTCTGGCCCAGTTTTGTCGCTGTACGAACATGAATCCCCAGTTGTTTTGCAGCAGCGGCCACACTCAGGTACTTCTTAAACATCAATTTGATAACAAAAAAGAGAGCCTTTTCCCCTTTACTTCAGCACTAAAACGTAGCCCTTAGAAATTTGAAGGGTCTAATTATAGTCAAGAAAACTAAGAGTAAAGTCGTTAGTGTCGTATCCTACGTTGAATAAGGGTCAATAAGCAGTGTTCACATATCAATAACAAAAGTTCAGTAACATAAACTGACCAATCATAATAATAATTACAATTCTATATAATATGTGTAACTATCAGTTTTAACACTTTCATCTTTATTCTAAAAAATAAAAGACACATAAAGAGTCCCATTGTACTTATTGTCCATCATCACTACTACAACCACAACAAACACCACAGTTAGGTAAATTCTGATCCCGATACAACAAAAAATGAAAACCGTCCTTTGACACTGGAACGACTGTACATGGTTGTTTCCATGTCATGTCCTTTTGTGTTCCCTTGTTGTGACTTGTAGGACTGTGGCTAAAAAAAAATTTATTTTTATACTTTTATAAATTCAAGCGCAATTTTACCCTGATTTCATATTGCTACTTTTTCTCTCTGTATTATTTTTCTCAAGGCAAGTATTATATTAAAAAAAAAATTTTTTTTTTTGGAAGGATGATACCAAACAGACCTGTTCTGCATCTTTACTGAAGACAAAACGTTTATTGCCTATTTTATTACTGAAACCAAAAAAAAAAAGAAATATACTATTCATTGTAGCAAAATACTTATTCTTAATCTTTAGGTTCTTTCTATTTTTTTTTTATAATAAAATTTTTGTGTTATTTTTTAAAAAAAGTCTTTTCTTTTGTGTTTTTTCTCTTTATAATGAACCTTCGCTTGATTCAAAGACGCTGGTATACTTCAACGTCTTTCAAGGTAAAGCAAAATGATGTCGAGTATATGTGTGTTGAACAAGGGATCTTTTTAGCAATTGGGACTGTCTTTATCCACTTGTCAAAGACTCCAAACCCAATTCCATGTGACACAGCCCACGCGTGCACAACAGGAGTTTATTCCTCACCTACTTGAAGGCAAACGTGATCTTTTATTGCGAGATGCAACAGGCACAGGAAAATCATTTGGCATTGCTCTCAGTTTAGCTTCTCTCGTCTCAGCCACCAGCGGATGCGTCCATTCATTGTACATTGCACCCAATCAGGAACTTGCTACTCAGATCGGCCAGTGGATTCAACAGCTCACACCCCATGCACATCAAGTTCAAGTGATTGCCACTAATCTTACAGAACAGCCGTCCATCACACATACCGTCGTAGGCACACCTAATCGACTCTTAGAATATATCAACCAAGGCCAGCTGCCTGTGCACGCTCTCGATCGACTGATTCTCGATGAAGCTGACCAAGCATTTGCTCTTCCCCGGAAGTACGCGCCATTACGAGAAAAAGAACGACGGGCAAGACACCCCAAGCCGGCCGAACAGCTCCTCGAGAAAATCAAGCATGGCAAGCACCAGACAGTCATCACCTCTGCCACGCTCAATCGGCCTCTACGATTCTTTCTCTCTCAGCGTGGCTTTGTCCGAGACCCACTTTTTGTAGACCTTCAGACGACTACAGTTGGTGTCAAGCATCATTGTCTGTTGGTCTCAGATGATCGTATACGAAACATTCGTCCCGAATTGATCAAGCAGGATCTTGACGTGAAACAAAAGCTGGACTTTGACGATACAGATGACAGATTGATCGAGAGTATCGCTACCTTGCATGAGATCGAATCAGTTTCTCATGGTATTCTCTTTATTGATTCTACCATCAGTGTCGAAGCTATCAAGGAGAGATTGGCAGAATATCAGGTACAGGCGCTCGATATCAAAGAATACTCATCGCTTGGTCCTCAACCAGGCGCTCTCTGGGTCGCGACCGAATTTACGGCCAGAGGCGTGGATATACCCGGTGCATCACATGTGTTTATTCTCGGAAAACCTTCTTCCACCGCAGCTTATTTGCATATGGCAGGAAGAACAGGTCGTCTCGGTCCAAGCGGGTTCAGTCAAGGTAAAGTGTTTAGTCTCGTGCGCGATCAGGGATGGACAGAAGCCAAGATGAAAAATATGTTTGAATTATTAAATATACCAGTGGAACACTATGAATTTGTTGAATAATAAACCGTTTATTATTATTGGCATTCAACAGCCCATCTTTGATAGGGTGTAAGGCCCTTTTGAATGATATGTTGGGGACAGCTTCGTATGATTTTGGTTAATGACCCACAGCTCTGTTCTTTCATCATATCCATTAACGTAAAGAGACGTAAAGCAATCTGTTATTTCAGTTAATAAGCGTCTTTCTATGTTTCTCTCTCTCTCTCTTACCTGCTCTTGCTCAGACGCATGCTTATTTCCAATTTCTATCGTATGCATCATACTATAGATCGTATCTGCCATCTTGATACTATCATCTGTTACTGCTGGACACATGACCTGTCCAAACAGGCAACCCAGTATACACCGTAACCCATCAGCGATTCCAGCAAGAATGTCTGTCGCACACGACTGATGATGACCATTTCCATACACAATAAAGGCATCCAACACACGCACAATCCATGCCAACATCTCTTGTTCACTAGTTACGTCCTGTTCTATAGTTGCTGCAATGATTTCCCAGGACGCATAGCGAAGAGGCGAGTTTCGGAGGCCGACAAGGTAGGCCATTGACATCGCTATCCATTTCACAAGTGGATGGCGTTTCGTTTTCGGAGTCAATCTGTAAAGCTCGCAGATGGCAACAATCGTGCCGAATCCTTCTTGATCTGTCTGTTCAAAGAACGATTCCCTGTTTTGTAATTGATCAGGACTATCAAGACTGCAAGCAACACAGTGGCGGAGAAGTGTGGTCATCTCAGGCTCAGCTTGTCTTGTCCAAGGTAAAGTCAGTTGGTGTAAAATTGTCTTGCGTATATCCGTCACAAGCTTCATTTTAGTTTCATCCAAATCGGACCTTTGAGTAGGAAGATGGTTGAACAATGTAACAAAGAATTGAAGCTTAACATAATCTGTGTATTAGAGAACAGAAATATAGTCAACCAAACATGTTTTTTCTCTCTTACCTGCGTTTCCTTATCAAACGTGTGTATCTGTTTGGCAAAACTTTGAACCATTTCCAATGCTCTGCTATCAGATATGCTTGCCTTTTTCATCATAGAACTCAAGCCACGACGCGTCGTAGTTTGAGCCTTTTCACTGGATGGCAGGCCAGCCAGTTCCAATACTTTGCCTAAGCCAGGCTCGGTTGTAAGCAAGAGACACAGTTCGGCATTTAATGTATGCTTCTTCAAAGGATCCAAAGCGATCGATAGCTGAGAGAGCAGGAATTCTGTTAGCGAAAGCGATGACGACGCATGAGCCGAAGCAAACCGAATGCACAAGCCTCGGAGCGATGAAGACACACTAGATACTTCGTTCATCAACATAAACCAATTGACTGGCGGCAATGGACCAGGTGTGAGCAGTAAACTAGATAGGAGAAGCTCCAAATGATCTGTCAAAGGACGTTCTGCCTCGACAAGGCTGACTAGGCTGTCGAATACAGCTCGAATGTAACTGGTGTTTTGATTCAGTCGACTGTAAGACGCGGGTTCAGATGAGGCAGACAAAAGCAGTAAATCGGATGCGGTCTGTTTTTCTTTTATCTGCGAAGTAGCAGCCATGAGCTGAGCATGATTGATAATTTTCCCACAAACAGCAGCTGCTATACGGCCACTCTTCAAGTTACCAACAGGAGCTGATGATCTTCCCGTAAGCCCTGCAGCATGCATCAGTTTGTCCCAGACAGTATGCCTTGTGCTTGCGCTGTATTTGTTTGACTCTATGTAAAGACGATCGCTCGGTCCCTCAGATGGTAGGTAATGAACACCTAGAAGACTGCCCAAGCTGAACAATCCTGCAATGCGGTAGTTGCTTGATGGATCATCATTATCAATGCGCTCAAGTTCTTGATCAAGCAAACGCCTGTAGCTGTACATTGCCTCGTTCTCCTCCTTTGAGCCATTCACAAGTCGTGAGCGACATAGCTGTGAGTAAGGAACGCTAAAGTGGTAAAAGTGCTGTGCCAATTGACCCTAGATAAGAGCTGTTATTATTCACTTTTTTTTTTTCTTACATCTGTCACAGCTCTCGTATAAGCTGATTCTAAAACACTTGCACACTCGTCATCTATAGCGCCACTGTCAGGAGCACCACCAACACCACAAACCCAAGTAGACCCAAGCAATAGACCGATATTAACTGGATGACCATCAGTGTATGATCGAAGCACGTCCTTAGCTAACCACAAGACTTCTTTCATACCACTTGCATTTTGTTTAGACGACAGTCCCATCATGATACCTAGCACACGGCTTTCAGAAATACCAGGCGAATTGCAGTAGCCCAAGAGTTGATAGAGCCCTTGTTTGCCCAAAACATCCAATTGCTCTGTCTTTGTAGGCCATTGGATAACGCTGATGACAAAGTATCCAGCTGCGTATCCATTTGCAAACTGAACAAGATCAACAGCCGTATCAATGTTTCTTGACTTTGCCTTTTCATAAGTTGCTGCTTCAATCAACGTTTTGCTTATCGTCTCTGCCAGCTTATCATTACTTATGACATGGGTCGATAAATGGCCTAGCGCAAACCTTGCTGCAAATTGAACTTCTTCACTCATCAAGTGTGCAGAGTGGGATAAAGGTGAGCCTTGTAACAGAATATAGTTTCTTAGTAATACTTGAACGATGTCGTTTGCACAGGATGATGCGAATGAAGGAATGATGACACGTAGCGTGCTGACAAGCCCTGTTTAAAGCAACTTAGTTGAACTATAGCTTATTTATAAGAAAAGGCAATTCCTACCTGTGATGGCTAACAATATGTTTGTGCTGACACCAGGTACAGTACTTCTTTCTAGACGTGCTAATAAATCTTTCAACAGTATAGACACAATGGACTCAACCTCTACTTCTTTTCCCTTTAAAACTGCCTGAAAGAATGCTTGCCAGGATGATATACTTGAGACACGAACGAGGAGGTGATCAGTCAAGGCAAGATCTGTAAAGGATGTAACCATGGCACGATACCATTTCGTTTTGCTAATAGCATCAAGCGTGTCTTCAGAGATAGACTCTCTACTAAAATCCAAGATATGAAGAATGGCTGTTGCATAACCTGCTCTAAGGCCAGGAGCTACATGACCCTCCGCCCATTTCTCGGTCAATGTTTTTCCTACTTCTTGTTCTCGTTCTCCGGTGGTTGAGGCTTTACGTTTCTTTGATGTCGTCTCGGGCTTTTTACTGGTTTCTTCAATAAATAATCCTCGACGCATATGGTCAAGTTCATTTGACATGAGCTTGACTAAAACAGGACTGTATCCCTTGCTGGGTACCTCTGATTCCAAGATCATTGACAGGTAGTCCTTGGCCTTTTCCGGTATAAGTGTGGCAATATCGTTGGCCGAGAAATGAGATAGTGCTTCTAGAGCATATGTCTTGGATTCTTGACAACCATTGTCGGAAGAAATTAGAGGCAAAATGAAGTCATTCAGCAACGTTTCCTTGAATTGCAGGTATGGTTCAGTCACTATCATGGTTCAAAATGAGTTTTAGATACACATGTTTTCTCTCTTTTTTCTTTGTTTACCTTCGTCCTTGTCACCAGCTAAAGCATAAAACCGACAGAGTTGTTTGATCAGGAGCAAAGATCTTTTCGTACCAGAATCCAATGCGAATCGAGCCAAATAGACCACGGTAATACTCCAAATCGATCTAGGCTCCACAAACCCTGCCTCAACACAGGTACAAATGATGCTCATAATGATTGAAAGCGAAGCCATACTGAGGTCTTGACATGCCTGGAGTAAAGAAATGACCATAGGCAAGATATCAGGTGCACATTCTCTGGGATGCAATTGGCACACATCCCGCATGCTGGTCAAGACAGAGAGCTCCAGTCGAATAGGTCCAGTGACGCTTAGGTCCACCTTACGGCGGAGTGTAGCTGATTTACGACGAAGGATCCAGTCAGTAAATACCTTCTTCAGTTCCTGCCAAACGCGAGGTTGACGTTCGTACACTTGTGCAAGCGCGCGCACGCCAAGACTTGCCATAGACAAATCATTATCTTCTGTGTGGATAATGGAAAGTATGATTTGTAACACTTTGCTTGTGATAATTGGGTCATTGGTACTTGAGAGACTGGGAAGGACGTGGTGGAAGATGTGGAGAAGCGTGTCGGACTTGCCTGAGGATTGTCGAATGACATGGAGCAGGTAAAGTAACACGGGGAATTTGTAACAGCCTGTTTGAAGAAAGGAAAGTTCAGATAGAGTAGAGAGTGCCTTGCATTGAACTTGGGTGTCATTGTCTAGAGTGAATGGTGTCAAAAATAGAAGGTTCAGTGTAACTGAGGTCGATGATAGATTCTTTGAAAAAATGTCTACTTTAGGCATTTCATTGGAATAAAAGAAAAGAATATAAGTAAACAAGTGCCCTAAAAGGCCATGGATTGTATTATGACGTATAATGTTCAATATCTATAGAATAAATGTGAGTCCAACGAATGATAAGGTATAAATAACTTACCTCTATTTGAACGTCTTCCACATCTACCTCGGTATCCTTGGCTTCATCGACACTATATATGAGGTCAAGTACTTGATTCTTGCGCTCCTGAATGCTCTTTGATGCGCTCTTATCCATTAGCTCAGATAAGGTTTGGAATAAGGGTAGGTATGCAATTTGCATCACTCTCTTAGGAATAGAGCCATGAGTGATACAGAATCGAATAAAGTTCAGAACACTCTGTTGTTCGTCCAGTGTTTGAGATTTGAGTAAAAGAAAAGAACAGCCAGCCCACAACAGGGAAACACTGGCTTGAAGTGTTGTTGAAATTGTCTGGTCACCATGTACTCTGGAATATAAGCGTTCTATGCGTGATAGATAAGGCAGAATAGGTTCACCCTTTGATGCACATGTCAGTGCTCTGTCAAGTATAGGATAGCAGTAATTAATCATCCAGTCCATCGCATCAAAGTTGACTTGCTGTTGAAACTGCGTGTTTATAATTTCCAAAAAATCCACTATAGCCAAATAACGAGGATTGCTCATCTGTAGCGGATACTTCATTATTACTTGTTTCCATATCAGCGCGTGAGTTGACTTTGCTATCTCCTTGTTGGCTACTGAGAAGCAAATCGATGTCAATTTTCCTAAAAGTGCATTATAGTCCAAGTTATTGTCTGTAAGAAGGACCATGAGAGTAAAAGGCGTAAGAATGGCGATATCTGTAGTTTCTTTCTCTCGAAATAGGTATTCTATTTCGTTTAAAATGGCATAATACAGCATAGGTTTCTGTCGAACTATAGCTACAAAGGGATCAACGTGGACTAGATCGTCTTTGACAAGGCCAAATTGTGTCTTGGCTTGTAAGCGTAGTAAAGTAACACAGCGTAGATATATCATGCTCTTCGGTTCGTCATCAGAGCTTAGGACAAGAGTCTGAAATTCGCGCAATGCAGTTGTAGCTTCCAATTGGTTATTGTTCACCTTGTCCAATATTCTTTCACATGCATTAGAGGTAGCTATATTTGACAGGGATGACTGAGATAGCGTAGACCAAGGTTCTTCTGTATTTGATGTCAAATCACATGCTTGATGAATTTGAACAAAACGGTGTTGAACAATCTCATTTGACATGCTTGTTTGATGATCAAAAAAGCAAAAAGATACAAAACTTCAACCACACTGTTTTAAATGCCGACTTTCGCGTCAATACACACATGCGCATACAGCAATAAGTCAATAACACTAACTCTCTTTTTTCATGATCTCTGGAGCACACATCATTGTCTCGAACAATGATAAAAAAAAAGCTGGCTGGATCAATCAAGAGCCAACATGAAAAGAGAACGAAAAAAAAAAAGACAAAAAGTACCCCCAAATGTCTTTCCCTATTTTATGTATTAAAAAAATGATCCATTATGCATTTAGCCCTTCCTCTAAAAGTCGACATCCATGCCAGCATGGTGAGATTCCATAGCATTCATGGAATCAACACCACCATAATTGCTTTGTGAAGCCTTTGCATCTTCAAAGGTACGATGACGAATAACCTCCATGTCAAATTTGTTTTTCAGTGCATTGATTTCTGATATAAGTTCAGTTGTGGCGTCTTTTAATGCCTTTCCAGGTGAAGTTCCAGGAACCGTTTGCACTTTGATGACGAAATTATGTTCTAGAGGATGAGGTACTTTATAACCAGCAAATAAAACTCTTGGATCCTTTAGTAGTTGACTGTGTATAAAGGGTAGCACATTAGCAACCGTGACCTAAAAAATTTGTATGCATCTACCCTCGTAACATATTTCCAAGAGTGTGATCCTCACGTTCAATCGTGAATGTAGCCGCATTTGGAATTTTGGTATCCACTTCCATCTCCACCCTATAGAATGCAGTGATTAATGTTGCTGCCTCTTCCCCTTTTTTACTATTAAGCTTGGTCTACTTTTTTTTTCCTTCAGGAATAACGAATAACTCAAAACGATCTGGTGCGTTCATGTTGACTGATTAATAATAAGCAAAAGAATGAAGAAGAATGTAGAAAGACGTTCAAAAAATAATGACGTTGTGACTGTTAATGCATAAACAATAGGCTGCGTCTACCTATGCGGCTTGCTGAAAAGGCTGAGTGTTGTCGAAGAGGTAGCAATGAATATACTCCATTGCTAAATAATACTAAAGTTGTTAATAGTAAATAATATGTACTTATCGTTTAGATTACGCTAATCACTGCGAAAGAAAAGATTATCGGAGCTTGATTGATGTTTCCATATAAGGATAGCAGGAACAGACAAGCATTGATCAGGTTATGACAGCCTTTTTATTTTCATATTAACTAATGATTTCTTATATACTTTCATAAATCAACCTTTTAAGCAACAAACTATAATCTTCTTCAAGATTAACTTACAGAGCTTCTTACTATTCATAACTATAAGTAGCAAATCTAATACAACTATCCATAATACAATGGTTTAACTTGAAAAAGAAAGAAAAGACATTGATATACAATAATCTTGTATATTTACATCAGTAGAAAGCGGAAACTTATCAAATAAAAGTTAATACACTTTCAATTTGCTTAAAGCAAGCACAGTCAAGGTGTGTAACCTAGAAGCTTGTCTGTTGTTGTCAGGCCATCTTGAACAGTCTAAATAGATAGATCATCACTGCATTTTACAATCAAAAAACATTACTTGGAGTAAGCAGTCTTATTCATTGCAATACAGTAACCCAAGCGTTTGATTTGAGCAACTCGGTTATACTTGATCTCACTTTCAGAGATCAAGTACAAATCCTGTTTTTGTCATGAAATATTCTTTTTATACTTCATAATCAGATAAAACAAAGATTTATCACTTCTTTTATTTCTTCTTTTCTTATCTAAAAGTGTTAAGCAAGAACAAAAAGGACCCAAAACTATGAATAGAATAGCATACGTTTCTTGAGTTCACAGCAAGTTTATGACTTCATTGACAAGTAAAACAAATGTTTGACTGAAAAAAATGATACAAGAAGAAATGTAACAACTATTAGACGATAAATACAAAGAATGTTTATTTCAAAGAATGAAAATCAAAAATAACATAGCAAGGATTTTATTATTAACAGGAAGAGAAGCGCATAAAAGTAAAGCTAAAGGTGCGATGATAATAAGCAGAGACACAAAGAGAACAAGGGACCCACAAATCTCTTACAAGAGACATTTAGAACACCAAAAACGATAGTATATACCTGACACGATGCGACCAACAAAGAATTCATGAGAAGTAGCTATCAGAAAATAATTACAAGGAAAAAAAAATACTTACACTGCGCCTGCTGAGATAAGGTTTTTCGCTGCCAACCAAAGCGCAATCTCCCTCAGCTCTTTTTTTGGGGAACCTAAAACCTATACCTAAAAAGGTAGGTTAGGGGTCAGTGGTTAGCGCACTTACTTGGAAGCCTTGAGCAGTTGATCGACATCTGGTAGGGTTAGTGCACTTACTTGTAAAAGCCTTGAAAACAGTTAATCGATATC